TACCATGCCAAAGTTAAGTACTCACTGAAGTACAAATTCTCCCTTTCTTTGCAGACTTAAAAAGAACCAGTTAGACCATGAGACATTTGTTAGGTCAGCTATTGGTAACCTTTTCTTGTTTGTACGTTTGTTTTTTTCCCCTGGAGAGTTCCTGGGTAGGTGCGGAGTGTTGTGCTGTCCAATATTTCCTATCATTCATTTTATGTATTATAACAATTCCTTATTTCTCTATCATTTCTTTGGTCAAATGTCAAAGAAACAACCTCACTGTAACTATAAATTCAGTCAAACCATAAACACCAGCAAAATGACCAACTTTTCTCATGCTCCAAAAAAAGGCCCTGTATGTAACAAAAAGTGGATGCATTTGAAATGTGCTTGCTTTTTATTAAATCCTTTTTGTTAACATATCTGCATGTTATGGTGGTCAGATTTATTGGTCAAGGACACAATAAGGACAGTCACAGAGACCAGAATTTTAAAAAAGGTGGATAAGTGTAACATCCAATGTTGTAGGGGGTTCAACATGGAGAAAAGGGTCACAAATCAATTTTTACTTTATTACATACTTTAACTAGGACATAATCTGATTACTTGGGTCATTTTCACATTCTGCAGTTACTTCCCTTATCTCAGTTTCTTCAACACAAGTAATTTAAAATATAAAAAAGACATCTGTACTTTATTTGAAAGGTTTGATATAACTATTGCTGATAATTTTAATGTTTAACAAACTTTAATTAAGAAAACATTACAATCAGATAAGTATAACCCATTACCAGCCTCCAAAATATAATGCTTAAAATTTGAAAAGAGATTACAATCTGCATAACTAATAGCATAAAATGAATCAGAGTTGTCATTAATATATACTACCCACCTTCGTCAAAAATAAAATTCATATTAGTTTAAAATGAAAATATGTTTTAATTTCACCGAACAAAGGGGACTTAGTAAGCCTTTTAGAAACACCCATGATAATTTATGCAAATCTTTTGCCTTTGAGCTCGCTAGTTATCTTGTTAAAGGTTATATCAAAATTACGTACTTTAATTCCCTATGTTAAATAAACTATTTAAAATGTCCGACAGCTTGGTACAATCTAATATTTAAACATTTAAAATACAAAGTAAACAAACATTTTATTTGTTTTTGGCAATAAATCATTACCTTAAAAGTTGATTAAATACTTTTGCATTAAAACTCTTAACGAAAATTATATATTCACATTCCAGTATTGTCAATTTAGTCTAATTTGGCTGGAACATGTCTACATGTTAATGTAAAAGAATGCATGATATTATGGATGACCTCAGTCTACTTATCATCACCGTCTATTCACCTCTGTGTTTGAAGAAACTTTTTTACAGTCTTAGGCACATGATCCATAAAGTCAAGTCCAGAAATTACCAAGGGATCAGATTTTTTAAATCAAAGATCAAGATAACTGCATCAAACCATTTTTAGCACCTGAGTTCAACCCTTGTTTAAGCATCTGAGTTTTACCCAAATTAATATTATATTAAGGTATATAGGAAAAAAAATTTCAGAGACAAGTGCCTGTGATCTGAGTTCTATCCCAATTTTAGCATCTGAATTCTATCCCAATTTTAGCACCTGAGTTCTACCGCAATTTTAGCATCAGAGTACTACCCCAATTTTAGCATCTGAGTACTACCCCAATTTTAGCATCTGAGTACTACCCCAATTTTAGCAACTGAATTCTACCCCAATTTTAGCATTTTAGGATTTTTGAAAGTTCAACCCCCGTTTTAGCATCTGAGTTCAATTCTAAGTTTGATTTGCAGTTTATACAGACTACTGTTTGTATTTTCATCTTTTTTCTTTTGTCTATTGTGTTGCCTGACCGTCTACAAATTATTTTTGATTGCCTTTGATATCTCTCTTTTTCTTCTAGAGTAATGCCTAGGTCAGAATGACCTTTCGAATGACTGGACTGCAAAAAAGCATATTTGAAGAAACAATGTTGTAACATGGGACAAAAGTAAGTATGGGGAAGTTTGCATCCAAATCATTTTTATAACTCAACAAATGAGGATGCAATTCAAATCAAACTCCAACTGTTGTTCAACACAGTTGTTGGTATTCCATAGACATCAAAAAGGACTATTCACACATTAAAGTTAAGCATAAATGTTTTACTATTAGATATTTGTTGTTTAAAGGTATGTAATGCTATATTATACACTTGACAGCCTCTAACATTTAGTACAAACTATGGTCATCAGGCAGTTAGTTTATGTTTGAATTGTTTGACATTTGTCAACTCGGGGCCTTTTATAGCTTACTATGTGATATGGGTTTTGCTCATTGTTGAAGGTGGTACAGTGACCTATAGTTGTTAACTTCTACATCATTTGGTCTCTGGTGGAGAGTTGTCTCATTGGCAAAAAGAATTTTGTTTGACGGATAAAAAGACAGAAAAGATGATTGCAATATACCCCACTCCCAGATAAGGGGTATTTATACTTTAAACAAATCTTGGCAAATTACAAAGAAATCTCAAATTTTTCTTAATTTGTTTCACTGACTTTTTTTCTCTAAATATGTAATTTACCTCCCACCCTAAAATCTCTAATCAAGCTGTAACCAATAGCTAGCACATAAGGAAGCTTGGTAAATACTTGTCATCCAGCAAAACTTAATTACATTATAAAAAGTAAAATTAAAATCATTTTAATCCTCTGTCTCATTCAACTGACACACAAAACAATTGTTCAAAAGTTAAATGATATAGATATTTTCACTTTAAATGCCTCTGAAAGTATCATAATACGTAAGTCATACATCAATATATGATCTTCTGATCCTTATAAACCACACAGCATTCAAACTACACTCATTAATCAACAAAAGTGGAAATTCCTACAGGTAGCAAGGTCAAAGGGGTCAAACAAAAGAAAAGTAATTTAATAAATAATGAAATAACTTATCTAAAATGGTTTAATTTTATTTAGAAAATATACATTATCCTTCACTTGATAGCCAGAAATGTGTTTAATTTTGAAATGAAGTCCTAACTGATCTTGACTATATGGTAAATCATTTTGAACTTGCCTTTACACCTCAAACAGCAAAGTAGGAAAAGTAGATGATATGGAGGAACAAGAGAATGTGCCCCCTCCCAGGCAAAACCAACCAGCTGACCCAATACACTGCCATCAGGCAACACCAACCAGCTGACCCAATACACTGCCATCAGGCAACACCAACCATTTGACCCAATACACTGCCATACACATGTATTTGGATTTGAAAAAATATCATATTTTCATATCAAATTTCTGGCATAACATTCTTCTTGCATAATTACAAATTGTTTTTTCTCTCTGTCCCCAACTCAAATGTACGTCATTATGCTGCAATTGTTTGAGAATATTTACAACCAAAATCATATAGGTGTCCATCAATTATTTTGCAAGGGGCCATTTATATTCAAGTTTTATGGCATGTTTTATTACAAATATGAAGTCAGAATCAACCAAATTTGCTGTGGTGGCATTCAGGAAAGTGTCATTTTATCCGAGTCACTGAGTGCCTATTTCAATATCTCGCAAATGTTGAATTAGCTGAGGTAGATTTCAAATTGATTTTAGCAGTCCTCCCACCAATAATGATTGTTTTAAATTTGTTGCAATGAAACACAATTTACACCTCAATAAATTGGATGAAAAAAAAAAACACATTTCATTTTCTGACATCCTTGCAGAAGTTTGGCAAATATTTTTGTACTTTTTAGTCTAAAATATCTAAATTTTATATTATGTTGTTCAAAATTACCAATCATTGAGTTATTTAGTTCACAATAAGCTGATATTTGCTGTCTTTGCATACACATATTTGGAGTGAAAGCAGACAGAAAATAATCTTAGATTGGTACTTTGTGTCTTTTGTATATATTTGATACAATGTATTTGTTTATTTTTTTGCTTCCTATCTAATTTTTACAATTTGCTCTCATGTGTTTTTTCATCAGTCCCAGGTAAGGGGAGAGTTAAGCATTTCCAAACATGTATAACCTAGTCACATTCTTTATTATATATGTGTGTCATAAACCAGGAACCTGTGTTGGTTTAGTGTCTGACATAATTGTTTTTTCCTTTAGTGTGTTTTAGTGAAATCTGGCCGTTGGGTTTCTCTTTCAATCTGTTTCACAATTTTTCTATCAAGGGCTTCTTATAACTTACCATATGGTATTGGTTTAGCTCGTTGTTGACGGCTGTAAAGTGACCTCTTATTTTCCACATCTTTTGTTCTTGGAAAGTATCTCATTGGCAATCAATAGTATCTCATTGGCAATCAATAGTATCTCATGGGCAATCAATAGTATCTCATGGGCAATCAATAGTATCTCATTGGAGAGCAAACAACATTCCTTTATTTTTATGCAGATTTATAATCAAAATAAAATATCATAAGTGGGTGATATAATTTACTGATACCTCTAAATTTATGGGTCTAAAAATATTAGATGAAATAAATTTTAGTTACATTTCACCTCACAGTTCACATTTTCTTAATTACTTCTTTCAAGTCTTTTAACAAGTATCCTTAATGTGTGTGATTGTCTTCATATTGTTATCATGACAAAAAGATGTGAAGTAGATATTTGTAAGACAGCAGCCAAATTACACAATAATATCCCAAAACACCATCTATTTTTTGTTATAATTCTAATGTTAATGTTGTCTCCCAACAAATTGCAGTATCTGTAAGAAGGCCTCATAACTTAAGCTACTGATAATTCTACTATTCAGACCTTTAAAAACATTTGTTACAGCTGCAGGTAAATATTATTGACCATCACATAAGCTGATTCTAATGGCCTAAAAGGTAAAAGTTCTCTGGGGACTTGGTTGAGGCTTTACAAAAACTAACTGCAATCTTAACAGCACAATCATGACATCAGTATTTCAATTAAATCTAAACATTCATACAAGAAGCACCATATGTTTGGACATTTCTTTAAGATAACTTACAAATATCTGTCTATTTACTGCATATTTTCACCAAACAGTTAATTTTTTGAGTCTGTCACAACGGCAGCTACCTGCTGTTATCTGAAAACAGAGTTAACAATATTACACAACTGCAATAGTTAAATATAAAAGATGTACAAAGTCAGGGAAACACTTCAAAGCAAAGAATGTTGCACTATTGTCAAACGATTCAATTGGATTAATAATATCTAAATTCCTCACCCTGCTTATGGTTAACTGTTGCATGTTTGCTATGGACTTCTATATTCTTGCCAATTTTTCAACCTCCTGGATTAGACAACATACACATATATTTTCCCAGACAGTTCTTTTAGTTTTTAAACCAATTGAAGGTTAGAAAAGCAAGTCTCATCAAGAAGAGATAAATCTTACTTTTAGATGTTCTAGTTTTCCCAGTCTTTCATCCTTCTAGGTATTACATTCTTAAAAATCTAAATGCCAATATAACACTGTAGGATTGGTCATTGATATATATATGTATTGCAATATTGCAGGTCTATGTAACTAGTTTCTGCTTTATATTGCAATACATTACAAGCATGACAAGGAAGGTGCAGACGAACCAAATCAGGATTGTTTCAGCACTAGTCATAGTAAATGACTTACAGATCAATCATTTATTACTTCATAAAAAGAATGTCCATTGTCAGCATTAGCATAATGCATTTATTTATATGCATATTGGCTTTAGATTGACTGATTTAAAGTGCGATATTCAACATATTCATATTTCTGCCACATTCAAAGAATAAATTCAAAGGAGTAGGTTCATGAAAAGTTTATATTGGCCCTATAGTCATGATAGATCAGTGAAATTTAACTTTAAAAATATAAATAAATATTTAATGAGAAAATAACTGACAAAACCGAATTCAACAAGCTCTGACACATTAGAACTATTATGACGTCATAATTTGGCACTCAAATGAAGAAATAATAATTTTGACTATTTTTTGCTTCAAACGAAATTGGCCACATGCTAGGACCACCACAATGTTTTGCAAGGATATGTATATGACCCAAATACAACTTTTTTAATGCCAATTTTATTTTGGTCGAAAGGGTCTGGCAAATGTTTTTCTGAAGGAAACAGACCGGCTTAGTAATGCATAAAAACTTGCAATTTGGCTATAAACTTGTAAAATATCATCTCTTTGAAGCTGTTAACATTGTAAAAACGAGCAGCAGAGCAAAAGAGTTTAGTTTATTTAAATTTGCATATCTAAGATGGTAAATATAAGTTTTTATATATAGTATTACAAAGTTTGATTTTTACTGCCAATTTTAGGCCTTCATGGCCATACTCCTTTTTTGTCTATGTGTCAGTAGTTGTTTAGGATTTATTTGACCCATAGAATACATTACCAGTTTTCTGTGCTTTACTATTTTCATATTACCGACTTTTGACAAGACATTCTGGTTGTAGGTCAAGTAAGAGCAACCATGGAAGCATTATATTGACGGTCAATATAATACTTCCATGGAGCAACTAAGTAAGTAAAATGAAGCTTACAATCAGTGAAATTTAATGGAAAATTAACTGTTTTCTGTTGATTTTGTCTTGTATAGAAAACATAAAACAGTTAATTTTCCCCCAAATTGCACCGATTGAAAGCTTGATTTTACTTCTTATAGTTGCTCTTACTTGACCGAGTGTCAGGATGTTCTACCAAGGTATAGGTAACCTGTTGAAAAATAATAAACTCCAGATTCAAAAATCAGTAATTTGAAAATGGTCTATTCATCCAAAAAGGTTTTTTAAAAAATATACTACATGTAAATAGTGATTGTCCACTAGTTCAGTTTTGAGGAAATACCGTATTCTTGTGATCTTTGTGATGTTAGAAAGTATTTGTGGTAGGGTTGCTGTCTTACTGACATTTACACATCATTCCTTACTAGGAAAATTTTACCAATATTTCTCTTCTTCACTATTGTACTTATTCTTATTTTGTTCTGATAATTTGCTGATTAAAATTTAAAAATCATCATGTTTAATTGCTTTAACTTGAGCAAAAAGATTATATTTCAGATACAATATGAAAACTTATTTCTCTTAAAAGTAATTCTCAAGAGGATTTTGTTCACTTTTTAAATGGCAATACAAAAGATAATTGGGTTAACAAGAATCTTATTTTCTTTAACTTGTGTGACATGCTGTTGGTATTCATATTATAAAATTAACAGTAATTACTTTATAACAGCATTTTTTTTAAATCAGCATCTCATATTTTCATCCAGTCTTTCCAGTTTTGACCCCAATGGACTGATAGAAAAAGAGTAAGTGTATGCCAAAGACTTGTGATACAGTACAGTCCCATCATTTTTTATAGTTGGTATAATTATGGAACTCAAAATGGCCTTGACTATAGATTAATGTCTCAAGTGTCTTTTCCCTCCTTGGAAAATCTCCTATGCCTTAACCCTTTAACATTCAAGGAATTCTAATGTTTTCTACCCGAATAAACACTGTCCAATATCAATCAATTGAAAATTTTAACAAAAGCTCATACAAAGCCCAACTTGGATTCATCTGACCAAAAACTTTAACCTGAAGAGGAACAGACGGATGGATGGACAAATGAACAAACGGACGCACAGACTAGAAAACATAATGCCCTACTTCTATCGTAGGTGGGGCATAAAAATATACAATTCAAGGGGAAAAGTTATAGTACAGGCATTTTGCACATAGTTTTAGTGTGAAAGCAATGCACAGAGTCTTTTGGAAACATACTAGGTGCTAACTTTATATAGAATGACAAAAAACCTGCCAGGTGCTTCGAAATATCAATGCTCGAAACATAAAAAAGATAAATGATATGTGAAGAATTTTTGTCAAAGTTAAATAAATGGCACAAGTTTCTGTAAAAGATGCATTAATTAAATTTGTTAACAGAATGAGTCCTATACTAAAGAATATTCACTGGGTGTAGCAGTTAGGCACTGAAATTTATGAAAAAAATAAATAGTTTTCTTCACTTGGAAGTAAAGTTACATTTAATATAGGATTTTTTTTTTTCACCCCTGTCAGTGAGGTTTAAACACGCAATCTCTCTGGCGTCAGATTGTTCATCTTACCGCTGAGCCACAGAAACCATAGGTAAAGTCGTGAAATTTAAGTATACATGTAAGTCCATTTCTCTGGCAGAAGAGAAAATAAAATGCTCCGCTGGGGCGCAGCTTGATACGACCGCAGAGGTCGAACCCTTAACAGTTGGGGCAAGTATGGACACAACATTCAAGCTTGATACAGCACTGAATTTGGATTTTAATTAAATATTTGACACAACATAAGTTTCTGACACAGAATGAATGTGGTCTAAGAACTTAAAAAATTTTAATTTACCTTTTCAAACCATATCATTATTATTTGCTTTTATATATAAATCAGAAATAACCAATTTAAAATGGAAAATTTAAAAAAAAAAAAAAGGAAAAAAAAATCCCCCCCAAATTTTTTGAACCCCCTTATGATTCATCAGCCCCAAACTCAATCCCAGCCTTCCCTTTGTGGTATGGTACCTTGCAGTACAATTCCAGAGAGATCCATACACTTACACACAAGTTATTGTCCTGAAACTAGAAAAATGCGTTTTTTTGCCCCTTTATGGCCCCTAATTCCTAAAATTTTGAAGGGAATTACCCCCAAAATCAATTCCAGCCTTCCCTTTGTGCTATGGTACCTTGCAGTGCAATTTCAAAGAGATCCATACACTTGAACACAAGTTATTGTCTGGAAACTAGAAAAATGCTTATTTTTTGGCCCCTTATTCCTAAACGTTTTTGGCAATTACCCCCAAACTCAATTCCAGCTTTCCCTTTGTGATATGGAACCTTGTAGTACAATTTCATAAAGATCCATACACTTACACACAAGTTATTGTCATGAAACTAGAAAAATGCTTGTTTTTTGCCCCTTTTTGGCCCCTAATTCCTAAAATTTGGAGGCAATTACCCCCAAAATCAATCCCAGCATTCCCTTTGTGATATGGAACCATGTGGTACAATGTCAGAGAGATCCATACACTTACACACAAGTTATTGTCATGAAACTAGAAAAATGCTTGTTTTTTGCCCCTTTTTTGCCCCTAATTCCTAAAATTTGGAGGCAATTACCCCCAAAATCAATCTCAGCATTCCCATTGTGATATGGAACCTTGTGGTACAATGTCAGAGAGATCCATACACTAACACACAAGTTATGTCTGGAAGTTACAAAAATGCTTATTTTTGGCCCCTTTTTGGCCCCCCAATTCCTAAAATTTGGAGGCAATTACCCCCAAAATCAATCTCAGCAATCCCTTTGTGATATGAAACCTTGTGGTACAATGTCAGAGAAATCCATACACTAACACACAAGTTATGTCTGGAAGTTACAAAAATGCTTATTTTTGGCCCCTAATTCCTTAACTGTTGGTACCATAACCCCCAAAATCAATCCCCACCTTCCTTTTGTGGTATTGAACCTTATGGTAAAATTTCATAGAGATCCATTCACTTAAACTAAAGTTAAAGTGCGAAACCAAATGTGTCTTCGGACGACGACGACAACGCCAATGTCATACCAATATACGACCACAAAATTTTTTGCGGTCATATAAAAATTGGAAGAACATCATCCAACTTCTTTTCTCTTAGGAAGCAAATATATTAGAAAGTAATAACGAAATGTTCGTATTTTTCATTGATATGTAACTATTTGTTCATTTAAGCGATATGGTGTCCAACATCCTCATAATCAAGCATTAAAGAAACAAAGTTTTGTTACTGCTATCCCAACTCAACTAACAATTCTCATGACATTTTAGATATTTTTATCTCTTTTGCCAAAAAAAAACTGACATAGAGAAACATGAAATTACTAGACATGACTAGAAGGACATTTGAAAAAAAGGCAGGACAGGAGTTTTGAGTAAAAAAAGGCAGGATGAGCAACTTGACAAAAAAAACTAGAGGCTCTCAAGTGCCTATGTCGCTCACCTGATTCTACTTTGGTTTTGGAAATCATGTAAAAATAGATTAAAATCATAACAGATACCCTAATTATATATAATAAT